GGGGGGGGGGGGGGGTAAAAATAAAATTAAAAGCCAGCAGCCCAGGATTAGCACTTTGTAAGCTTAAAAACCTGGGATTTCAATAAATTCATATATCTGCAATGGAATTATAAATAACTGTATTTTAACTGCTCATGCAATTAAACCTACGCTTTATTTTTAGGTTTTTAAATTTTTTTTTTATTAGTAGTAGTGGCTTTTTAAGATCCCGTAGTAGCATCAGGTTTGGAAATTGTTTCAGCCCAGAGCTACACACACGATTTCGGGCTGCCTTCTACCTATCTCCTGGCTTCTAGTTTTCACGTTCGGGGCTTATTCTCCCGACGTTTTTGCTCTTCTCTCCTCCCCCTACCCCCTCCCCGACGCTCCGTACCCCCTCGCTGTCTCCTCCACCCCACCCCACCCCCTACACACACTCATATTTTATACCGTAATCTGGGCCGGAGGGAGCTCGGCGACGCAAATTCTTCCCTGATTCGAGCGTGAAACCCTATGCCCCAAGCGTGGTGCTCAGACCTCACCCGAGCACATCAGAATAGGGAAAGACACCGAATTCCTAGCTTCGTGGGGGCTAGGGGCCAGAATATCCTGCCTGGCTCCAGACTACAACCCTGAGCTCGCCAGGAACTTCCCCCCCGCAACTGTTCCGGACCTGTGTCCTCATTATTTTTAAAGGCCAAAACGGGGGATCCGGTGTTTTGAAAGCCACCCCCGTGGACTCTAATTGACAAAAAGATCTTTCTCGCCTTCCGCCGACTCTCTCCACCCCTCAAGCCCACTCTTAAACCAGCCACCACTAAAACTGGGCTCTTCAAATATGCATAAGCCTCCAAAAGCCTCCTCAATCCCAAATTACTTCCTTTCCCCCCTTCTGTCTCATTCTTTCTGTCTCTGTTGTTTCTTTCTACGCCCCTTAACCCGATCTCCTCAATTTCCCCAGCTCTATCCTTTGGCAAAGTCCCCAATGCAGTGCGTGGAGAGGGATGTTGGCAGCAAGCAGGCATTTAGATCTGTCTGCAGCCTGAGCAAACTGGCGCCTCCGCCACTGCCGGGAGCCCACCACTTCTCCCGGCTCCGAGCGCACCGCGAGCTTTGCCAAACCGGCTCCGCTTTTTCTTCTTCCCGATGTCTCTCTCTCTCTCTCTCTCTCTCTCTCTCTGTCTCTCTCTCCCTCCCTCTCTCTCTCTTCTTCTTCTTCTTCTTTTCTCTCTCTCTCTCTCTCTCTCGTTATTATTCCCAGATCCTTCTCGTCCACCCTGTTTTTTTTGTTTTGGTGTGTGTGTGTGTTCCCCATAATTTCAAGCCCCAAACTAACCACCAGCGCACACTTTCGCTGCCTGCCTGCCGGAACCTAACGCCAGAATCCCACCGACGCTGGGTGTATGGGCCCCGGCCGCGGACTTTCGAATTTGGGGTCCCAGGCCGGAGGAGAGAAGAGGGCGGGTAGGGGTCGTACTGCGATTTCCGTACCTGTGTGTGTCCTTTTGTGGATCTTTAAGTTCTCGGAGCGCGCGAAGACCTTGCCACAGCCAGGGAAGGGGCAGGGGAAGGGCTTCTCGCCCGTGTGCACACGGATGTGGTTAACCAGTTTGTATTTGGCTTTGAAGGGCTTGCCCTCGCGCGGACACTCCTCCCAGAAGCAGATGTGGTTACTCTGCTCGGGGCCGCCGACGTGCTCCACGGAGACGTGGGTCACCAGCTCGTGCATGGTGCTGAAAGTTTTGTTGCAGCTCTTCTTGGGGTTGCTCAGCTGCTCGGGGTCGATCCACTTGCAAATGAGCTCCTGCTTGATGCACTGCTGCCGCATGTAGCGGAAAAAGGCACCGGGGTGGTGGTGGTGGTGGTGGTGGTGGGCCGCGGCCGCTGCCATGTTCATACCCATGTTCATATTCATGGGGCCGTACTGGTTGTGGAGCTGCGCCGCGGAGTAGGGGTCGGTCCGCGGGCTGGCCACCTGGCGGTATTGCTCCGAGCGCCCGAACACCTCGCCCGGCAGTCCGAGGCGCATCTGCCCGTTGAGCACATTCTGCGAGCCGTGCGGCCCGTGCTGCTCCGGGAGGCCGGGGAAGAGGAGGTGGCCCTGCGCGTCCGAGTGCGCGTGGTGCAG